CATTCAAAATATAGGTCTATAAAACTAAGAAAAGTGAGAAGATGAGTGGAACTGGGAGGGATGGGTGAGAAAGATTAAAGAAATGACATTAATCAAGATGAATTGTTCTCATAAACCTATATTTTTGAATTGTAACACCTTTATAAAACTAAAATAAAAAATAAGTTTAAAAAAGAATTCTAACATATTAAAACAGTAGTTTTACATCCTACTTTTTAGTTGTGTAATTTTGAACCAACTCATCAACAGCTAGACCCACTGTTGATCTCCCAAGATCTATCCCATTTGTTCTTCTACTCATCAGCTCTCTTGTATTTATTTATTTATTTATTTATTTATTGTCAGTGCTGGCTCATTCACTGCTATCTATCTATGGGATAGCTATTCTCTTGGCCTACATCTTGTATATTCCAAATGTGGTTTTCACATTTTTCTTTACCAAAGAAGACTTCTTCACTACTGTACATAAAAGGAACCGACTCCTATATAGGCTTATAGAACTTGATTTTAAACTTTATCAATTCATTTTTGTGCCAGTATTGGGGCTTGAACTGACTCTTCCAATTGAGCCAGACCTCCAGCCTGGCTACTTGCTGGTTATTTGTAGAAAGAGTCTTGAGGACTTTTCTTCCCTGGCTGGCTTTGAATTACCATCCTCCAGGTCTCAGCCTCTAGAACAGCTATAATTGCAAGTGTGGCTTAATCTTAAAACATGAGTAAAATAAAATGATATTTGATAATTTCAGCTTTAGATTTACGAAGTCTGGGGTGATTGACAGAAGTCAGTATAGGTTACCACAGATCTGGAAGTCAGAGAAAAGCTTGAAATAAAAAAAAGTGTGAAATTAACAAATGCAAATGTGAGCCCTGACAAAGTAAGTGAAAGAATTAGAGAAAGAAAAAGAACTGACAAATACTTACATACAGGTTTGAATACATAGATGAGCACATGCCCAAAGAAGAAACAGAGCAGGCACTGGTTGCTCACTCTGTAATCTAGCTACTCCAGAGGCTAAAATCTGATGAACATGGCTTAAAGTCTTTCCAGGCATAAAAGCCGATAAGAATCTATCTCCAAAATTACCTGTAATATTCCTAGACTGAAGGTGTGGCTCATATGGAAGAGCACCAGTTGTGAGCACCAAAAGTAGTATGAAAGTGAAAGGCCCTGAAATGAAGCATCCATACTCTATACCAGTGGAAGAAGGAGAAGGAGAAAGAAGAAGCATGACTGCAGAAACACAAATATAACAAAAAACATTTTAAAAGAGGCCTGAAATGAAAACTAAGAGAACTTATAAAAAGGAGAGGATTTCAAATAGTTTCAAGAGTGGCATATTTTATAAGACATAGAAAGTATGTTTTCTTTACTATCACAGTTACATTTAGATAGACTGTCTGGAAGATGATAAGTTTCTTAAGAAGCTGAATTTCCTGGTAGATTCCATCACACAAGCTAGTTTTTATTTGTGAAAATCACACAGACTGAACCTTTATTTGAATGAATCTTTTTGTTTTCATTGTCTATAACTTCACTTACCTCATTTTTCATTTCCTAAATCTTCAGAATTTTTCTACTTATTTATTTGCTTGTATAAAACAGCATAGTTGTTATGGAACACTTAAAATGAGAGAAGAAATTTTAAAGTATGCAAATGAATACTTTCTTCACACTGACTATGATCTGGATAGCCGTTATGGCTGGAACATGGGAACTATTTCAACAGTGACCTAATTAAGTCAGCTCTAAAATTAGAAGTGAGCTCTATGTCCTATTCAAATCTCATTTTTTAATTCTATAAATCTTTATTTCAGACTGAGGCCTAGATATACTCAAATTTATATGCAAATCTTAAAGTAATACAAATTGTTCATGTCACTCTCAAAGCACACAAGTCCCATTGTTATCCAATCCCTGGCTGCCCTTCCAGGGCTGTGTCTTATCAAGTGCAGACATTTGGCCTCCGTGTCCCGGCTCCTGCTTTCTCATTCATTACACTTAATTCTGTGGAAGGCTTGAAGTTTGAGTATGAATATTCCAGGTTTGTTTGTGGAAATGGACTTTGAGAGATAATACAAGTTTCCTAAGATACCTCACAAAGTGGTAGCAGGACTGTGAGCAGAGGCAGTGTGACCCTAAAAGTCATTATTTTTGCCTGCACTCTGAGTTCCCTTTTCTCTCTCTAGTTGCATTAGTTTTACTTCATCTTTAATGTCTAGCTCCCTACTTTATAGAGTCTTATCTACTAAATCTACAATATAATTGTTGGTGTGTCTAAACAACATATTGTCCATCTGTTAAGAATGAGAATTGGTTTTTTCCTATTTTTAGTTAATTGTACAAGTGGATTTCACTTTGACAGGTCCATATATGCATTCAATGTACACTGATGAGACTCACTTTCTATGTCCTTTTCCTTATCTCTATTCCCCCTTCCAAAACGAATCTCAACAAGCTTCATTGTTCTATTTTCACATATATGTACAAAGTATTTTGATTATATTTATCCTCTTTACCCTCTATATTTGCCCTCTCAGTATGTCATTTAATTTTACTCTGTGAAAGAACTGACTGCTTTTCACAAATAGAGAATCCAAGGTTTGAAAATTCAAGTGACTGGCAATACAATTGTTTAGCTGGAGTAAGACTAAGCTAGGTCTTGAACCCAAGGCTTCTGAGTCTCAACCTCACTTACAGCCCCTACTTCCACATAGTATTTTAACAAAAAGACTCCTTATCTTCAATAAAAGGCACTAAGTCATTCGAATGCAAGAAGCTCTCTGTTGGGAAAGTATTAATGTAATCAACACATAAAAACAAAATCCACCTACAGCATTGAAACAATAAAAAAGAATATATATAATAAATTTAATTATTATATTATCCATATAAGTATCATGTAAAGTAAGAAGGTAAAACCAACAATTGAACATTTAAGTTAAAGAAAAGGAACGTCTTTTTTTGTCAATTGTGGGACTTGAACTCGGCCTGGGTGCTGTCACTAGCTAGCACTCTACCACTTGAGCCACAGCACCACTTCTGGTTTTCTGGTAGCTAATTGGAGATAAGAGTCTCACAGCCTTCTGAGTATTTAGGATTACAGGCATGAGCCACCAAGGCCTGGCTGAAAGGGAACATTTTATCTAATGGATTGGTAAGTTTAAAGTAAGTTTTAAGTTCTGAATCCTTAAAAAACATCCAAAACAGGTAGGCTCAGTAAATCACCTGAAGATAACTTAGCATTCCCTCCATAAAGCCATTGGCTCAAGTGGATCAACATTACTGTGTAAATCATGCATATTATATATGGTATATAATACATATTATGAACAATGTTTTTCAAAAATGAGTCACACATTTATGCTTTATTAACCTATCAAAATTAGAATTCCCTCAATGACTTCCTCTATGGACAGTAGCATGTATAAAGCCTGCTTTGTGTCATCAGTGTACATGAGAAAATCCAAACAGCTAGAATGATCATTCAAAAGCACAGTGTTCAGACTTGTAATAGAAGTCATACAAAGTCATCTTCTGAAAAGAACAAAATGAAAGTTGTTGCTGTTATTCTTACATTGCCATAATAAAAGTACTACTTTATAATTTTTGGTTTTTAATTCTATAACCTTTGTTTTATTGTCTTTACCTTCTTTGTATTTAAAAAGAAGAGGATGTGTCTTATTTAAATTTATTTGATCATGTTCACTGAATATTGTAACACAGAAATAGTCTCACTTGAACCATGGTCAAGATGATTCTTGGATTGCTACGATGAGGTTTCACAACAGAAAGTAGGAACAACAGATTAACTTAAAACAAATATATTCCAAACACAAGCATATTATATTTATTTCTGACTTTGAACACTTTATACAATTAATTATGTGGACATCCCATGATCTCTGCCAATGCTACTTGTCACAATTCATATACCTAGACCTGCCTCAAATAGCATAATTAATTTTAAAAGTGATATCTAAATTTTCTAACAACAATTCACTTTTAAAATTTCATTCTAAAGATTATTTAATAACTTAATATTTCCTTATATTCTAGTTAGTAGTATTTTTCCTAAGTCAGCAATTTACTAAAATAATTGTATTTAATATCTAAAGATTTTTGTCTTAGGGAATTTTTTTCTCAATGTATGTACAATATCCAAGTCCTAGTTATGTACTAAAAAAAGGTCATCCATTTCTTTCACCATTCTTAGGATTGCAAAAGATTTTGTTTTTGTTATTACCTTTAAGTAGTTATACAAAGGGGTTCCTATACAAAATCTGTTGCACAGAATTCTACCCAAAGTACCCAGAACAGCTGTCCCATTTTATTTCTGTAAAATGTCATATAAGAAATCAATTACTAGGAATGCTTGTGAAAGTCTGAGTCTTTTCTCTTCTTTTATTTTGCTGTTAATTTTATTCTGCAACATAATATTTTGGGTGGTTGACCATACTAGAGTTTGAACTCATGGTTTTTTGCACTTGATATGAAGGAATGCTATCACTTGAATCATACCTACCGACTTCCAAGATTATTTTTGATAAGTACAAAAAACAAACAAACAAGGATACTTCTAGTTAAAACAATATGGTATTCCCACAGATTTGGCTAAAATAAGATTCTTGGAGCACAGCCCTCGGTTCCAGATCTGGAATTCCCAGCATTATTTCTAATTCAACCATTCTTTCACAATTCAAGAATGCTACAGAGCATGCTACATGTCTGTCTATCAAAATCTTTTGAATTTCTACCACTTGATATTAAAGTATAAAGATACTAAAAGTAAATTCTAAAGTGGATATATTTAATTATTATTTACCAAAAGAGATACTGCATTAAAAATAATAAATATAAGTAATAGAAAGAAGAGAGAACGTGATGGAAGATAGAAGAGAAATAGAGACAAAGAGATATAGAGAATATTTAGAAAGATTTATCTCATTAAGGTTAGTTCCTATTAGGACCATTACCTGAAATTACCTAAGCCATTCATTACCTGAAATGATGCCGCAGTAATGATTGTGATGATCTGACTTCTCTGTGACTCTTTCCTCCACCGACTTTTTCTGCCTATATAAACGGTGTGGATGACCTGTTATGGCCATTGTGTTATTGAGTGGCTCAATAAATATCAAGTCCTCATTGAGCTGTATAACTCCCATCTGGAATATAACAAAAATATATGTAAGAAATAGCATTTAAAAATGATTTCCCAAGCTCTACACACATATGCTATAAATGTGCATAGTCTTCTACTGTAACTGATTTAGCAACCCAACTAGTAAGTAACTATATTCCTATTTTATTACTTCATCTTTATGTTCTTTATTACATAGCATAAACTTTACTTAGTCTTAGCCTCTGTGGGTGGGAGGCTAGATGCCAACAACAGATGCACAGTAAAAATACTGGAATGTTAACAGCTCCCTTTGGGGGGTTCCGGGGGTCACTTACATATACAACATGTACAGAAAGAGCAACGTAGTATTTAATTGCATGCAATCACAACAGTTGAAATTCTTGACTATTTCCATTTGGCAAAATTTCACACAACATATCTAGACAAATGCAGGCTACATTGCATTAAAATGAAATATAAAATATTCTTAGAGTTTTCAACTCACAATTTATAAACCACAGGATAATTAGAGAAAGAAATAAAGCATTGCTTAAATGTTGAAAATATGATATGTTGGATAAAAGTTGTCACAACAAGTAGATGTTCTTGTAATATACTGAAGTAAACCTAGTTATTTTTTTGGTAGATAAATTGCATTGGGACTTGGAAAATACTCCACTTGGAAGAACATGGTATGAATTAATCTTTTAATTTTGATTATGTAACTGTTTAAGATTACTATATAAATAGTATATATTTCACAGTAGCTCTTGAGCCAGCATTTTGAAAAAATATTATTTGTGTATATATATTTGTGTGTGTACATATATATATATATATATATATATATATATATATATAAAACCTAACCTGCTACTATCAAAAGTCTTAATTCTGTTTCACATTAACAATGTAAAACTAATGTTCATTCTATTTGGATGCACATATAAGTAGCACAATGATATTTCTCCAGATATAGTAATTTCTTCAAACTGTAATTATGTAAAATTTAATATTTACTTGACTTTGAAATAAATGCATGCTTTTCTTAGATGTACAGAAGAGATTATTTTTCATGATAACATATATTTTGTTAGCCATGGAATATTCATGATTTTGTTTTGTTTTTTCCTTGCAGCTAGTGCATGACTCCCTGATTACAAATTAGTTCACAAATGCATATGTTCAATAAGTGAATAATTCCTAATTTATCTCTTTTCTCTTGATTTCTCCAATTAGTGACTTCAAATTTGTATCTATTTTCATTATTAGAATCCACTACATCTTCTATACAGAAAGACTAGGTGATTGTCACCTCACTTCACTCCATACCAGACTGACAGTTCAAGATACCTCCAGTAAAGCTAAAAATCCAAATCAGCTTTACTTAATTGAATCTTCAAATCATATATAAAATTCTGGAATAATTAGAAAAACCAACTGTACCACCTCTCCCTTTCTCCTCCTCTCCTCTCTCTGTATCTCACAACTGCACTCTCTCTTCCTCCCTCCCCTCACTTCTTTTCTCCCTTCCTCTCCTTTCCTCTTCCTCTTTTGTTTTTCTTCTTTCTTCTACATCCATACTAAGAAGATTATTAAGGCAAACTATAATAAAAAATATCAACCCTGATGACTTTACAATAATATATAATGTATATGTGTGTACGTATATGTGAATATTTTATGTAATTACTATATAATTTCTAATGAGTTTTTAAAATTTAGATTTTACTTCTCTTAAAACTAAAACTACCTTCAATTTTATAGTAATTATATGAGATATAGAAAGAAATCCTGTTGTCTTAATTTAATGAAACACCAGAGATCATTAAACCTAAAAGTATTAAATACTAATCATTAAAGAAGTAGATGTAAAGTCAAGTACTCTACTGCTATTTTAGCTACCATGAAGACACAGATTAGGACCATCATTTGAGGCCAGCCTTGGAAAAGTCAGTATGATACCTCTCCATCTCAATAAATAAACAGAGTGTGGTGGCATGCATCAGTGGTCCCAGTCACATATGAGGTATAAAAGGAACATTGTCCAGGCTAGCCAAAACATGAGATTTCACCTGAAAAATATGTAAAGCCAAAAGAGGGTGGTGTCTAGCAAGTATGAAGCCCTAAGATCAAAATCTCGTAACACACACACACACACACACACACACATACACACACACAAGTACATATTGTATATCTCCATGCAAATTGCCAGTAGGTAGAATCGCATTGTATACCATTGATCTAAACCGAAAATACTGAAATGTTATTCCAATATAATAAGTGTGAGTTTTGAATTCACTCATCATTGAAGAACTCTGTGGCTGATGATTGAATTGTGAATTTTATTTATACTGCCTCAGGCAGACACTTTACCATAAATTAATGATACAACAAAATCTTTGAACAGGTTAAAGAGATATGTAGATAGGTACATTTATAACAACAAACCTTATAAAATTTAATTTCATGCTATCATAAGAAGTGTAATGACTATGACAACATATTGAAGACAGATTATTTAAGTTCATAACTTTGTTAGTAATAGAACTATGGGAAAGTCAAAGTAATTCTCTTCTTAGAGTTGTTTGAAAAATACATTTCATACACATATACCATGCTTTCATTATGGGATTTGATACTGGATAATCACTAAATAAAGGATTACTATAATTTTTACTTTAATAATAATAAACAGAAACCCAGGCATTTATGAATAAACTGAAAATCTGACAGAATAAAAAAAATCAGATAAATAATCCTTGTTTCTCCCTATTAGAACACTATTTCTTAAACTAAATGTTTTGCCGTTGTCTATTTTTTTCTTTTTTTTAAGAATCGGATGTCTATATCATCATGGAACAGAATCAACTCCAAATGAATCAAAGACCTCAAAATAAAAGCAGACACCCCCACACTCTGGTTTCTCTTGATGGTATAAATCTTTTGCCTTTTAAAAGCAGACACCCTGAAAAAATCACATGAAGGAATAGGAGAAACTCTAAGGCTCCTTAGCAAAGGACAAAATTTTCTTAAGAGAGACCCAAAAACACAACAAATCAAAGAAAGGTTGGAAAAATGGAATCGCATGAAATTGCAGAGCTTCTCCATGGCAAAGGACATAGCAAGCACGATCAACAGAAAGCCCACAGATTGGGAGATCTTCACTAGCCATATAACAGACAAGGGTCTCATATCTAAAATATACCTGGAACTCAAAAAATTAAATCCCCCAACAACAAATCCTCAAAGAAACAACTGCCCAATAAATACATGGGCTAAAGACTTAAAGAGAAACTTCTCTGAAGAGGAAATAAGAATGGCCAATAGAAACATAAAGAAATGCTCAACTTCACTAGCCATAAAAGAAATGCGAATCAAGACAACATTGAGATTCTACCTCACTCCAGTTAGAATGGCTATAATCAAGAAATCTTATAAGATGCTGGAGGGGATGCAGCCAAAAGGGAACCCTACTACATTGTTGGTGGGAATTTAAATTTGTTCAACCACGTTGGAAAGCAGTATGGAGGTTCTTCAAAAGACTTCACATAGAGCGCCCCTATGACCCAGTGATCCCACTTTAGGGCATTTATCCAAACGATCGCAAACAAAGCCATACTAAAGCTACCAGCACATCTATGTTTATTGCAGCATTATTCACCATAGCTAAGATATGGAACCAACCCAGATGCTCCCTCAGTAGATGAATGGGTCAAGAAAATGTGGCATATATACACAATGGAATTCTATGTCTCCATCAGAAAGAATGACATTGCCCCATTTGTTAGGAAATGGAAAGACTTGGAAAAATTATATTAAGTGAATTAAGCCAGGGCCAAAGAAATATAGGTCCCAGGGTTTCCCTTATTTGCAATAACTAGTATATGTCTAGGAAATATACTCGTTACCTTACTACCTTACTCATGTAACTGTAACCTCTCTGTACAGTATTTTTACAATAAAAATATATACAGCAAAAATTAATTTATCTAGTATATTGCCTGTATTATTTTTAGACATGAACGTCATTTTGTAAAGGATAAATGTAGTATCATTGTAAATGGTGATCCATTCATTCAATATGTACACTGGATAAACCTAGTTCACTTTGAAGCATATTTTGTACCAAATATCCCAATGTAGTTTGATTAGAACACTTTTCTGTGGAATTTAAGTACCATCTTTGGTTTGTATCATTCAAGACATTCATTCTGGTTAAAACAGAATTATAGAAACTTTTTAGAGCTTCTGTGTTTGTTCATTAACAAAAATAGGTTGTTTTATTTGCATTATGATTTTACAACCCATGAAAGAATACAAACCTGGGCTGGGAAGTTGGCTCAGTGGTAGAGCGCTTGCCTTGCATGCCTGAGGCCCTGGGTTCGATTCCTCAGCACCACATAAGCTTTTTGCCGGAAGTGGCACTGTGGCTCAAGTGGTAGAGTGCTAGCCTTGAGCAGAAGAGCTGAGGGACAGTGCCCAGAGTTCAGGCCCCAAGACCGGACACAAAAAAAAATGAATATAAACCTATAATCACCTTCTTGCACAAGAGCCCCTGGGTACAACAACCCACCATTAGGCAGAATTTCCATTGGTACAATTTAGAAGCAAAGCAAATGTGATATGAATTAGTCTGGCACAAGGCATTATCCACAAGAAATACGAACTATTTTAGTCCATTATTGGTCTTCAGAAAGTTTCCAAAATAATTTTTAACCATTTTGGTATATTTGAGGTATGCATATGTATGTATATGTATACATCTATGGCAACAAAATTAACTGTATTTATTTAGTTAGCCTGTACATTTTCTCATCTGGTGGCACCTGTTCTGTTGTCATTTCTTCTTTGATTTTTACAGTAAGAAATTCAGTGTTTACAATTTAGCATTGTTTATGTGAAAATAAACTACCAGCATTTCCTGACTAGTTTGTATACATCATTTTTCTCTAATTTTATGTCTGTGTGTTTTTAGGCTATCGTTTATATCAGTATTATTGCAACTGTTTAACACTGTCACCAGCTTCTAATCACATT